CAGAAGCCACAGTGGGAAGGAAGGAACCAGCGTGTGGTCCTTAGTAATCAGCCTCCCTTAGGGCAGAGCAGGGTGGGGAGTGGATGGGGTGGGGTGTGTGTATGGGATCCCCAGCCTCCGCCCCTTGTCTTCAGGGATATTTGTCTTGGTGGCCAGAGCTCCTGCTTGTCAGCTAGGTGTGGGCCATGCAGGGGCCTCTCACCAAGGCCAAAAGTCCTGGTATCCTGGTATGAGGAGCACAGTGGGAAGCCAGTATCTGCTGAGAACAGCAGGTAGATATCAGAGGAGAGATCATCTGTTTAGACAGGAAGGAATAAGGGAGCAACCCAGGCAATAGCCCCTGGTCACTCCTCCCCAGCTTACATCCCTAATCCCATCCCCCAGCCATGCACACTCCCTATGTACCTGCCCCTCCTTTGTACTCAATGCTGGTAAATCCGAGACTGCCTTTGACGGGCTGAGCGTCGCTTCCAGTGTGGCCCCTTCTAGGCTCCACGTGGACTGTGAGTGATCTTTCCCTCACCCTGCGCCACTTCTAACACTGCCGCCCCGTGAGGGTGACACTTCCACATGGTTAAAATTAGCAATTTTATGTCATGTATGTTTAGTGCGATTAAGAAAAAGATTTCAGTGGTGAACTGCTTCTGGGTAATGAAAGCAAAAATGCTGTTGCAGAAATCACTTGCAGAATTTAGGCTGAAGGTAAAGTTAGTTGGAGCTGAGACAAGGAAGGTTGAGGCCAGGAGTTGAATGTGTCACCCAGCACGACTCTGTGTCCTGACGTTGTTCTGTTTCCCCAGGGGAGCGCTGGTGCCATTCGCAGCCCTGGTGCGCTGACTGCATGGAGGGGGCAAACCAAACCGGGGTGATTCACTTCCACTTCCGCCCCTTCTCCAAACTCCCTGAGGTTCAGATGCTCATCTTTGTGACCTTCCTCATAATGTACCTGTTCAGCATCAGCGGCAACTTCTCCATTTCTCTCATCATCTGGTTCAACCGTTCGCTGCATACGCCCATGTACTTCTTCCTGGCCAACTTGGCAGCTCTGGAGATCTGCTACTCCTCCACCATTGCCCTTCTGACCCTGGCCAGCATTCTGTCAGTAGAGAGAAACCTCATCTCCCTGCCTGGCTGTGGCACCCAGATGTTCTTCTTCATCTTCCTGGGCAGCACTGATTGTATCCTGCTGGCTGTCATGGCCTATGACCGCTTCGTGGCCATCTGCCACCCTCTGCACTACACCCTCATGATGAGCTGGCGCCTGTGTGCCCAGCTGTCCCTGGGGTCGCTGGTGCTGGGCTTTATCTTGGCCATGCAGCTGACTGTGCTCATCTTCCAGCTCCCCTTCTGCAGTAGCAAAGAAATCAGCCTGTTCTATTGTGACGTCCTCCCTGTCATGAGACTGGCCTGCGCAGACACCCGGGTCCACGAGGCCACTCTGTTTGTTGTCAGTGTCATCGTCCTCACTATCCCCTTCCTGCTCATCACACTCTCCTATGTCTTCATCGTCACGGCCATCCTGAAGATGCGCTCTGCAGAGGGTAGGCGCAAGGCCTTCTCCACCTGCTCCTCCCACCTGACTGTGGTGCTGCTGCAGTACGGCTGTGGAAGCCTCATCTACCTGTGCCCCAGCTCCAGCTACTCCCCAGACAGAGGTCAGGTGGTGTCTGTGGTTTACACATTCATCACCCCTGTGCTGAACCCCTTGATCTACAGCATGAGGAACAGAGAGCTTAAGGATGCTCTGAAGAGAACCATGATGAGGTTCTTGTTGACTAAATCCCACTGATCACCCTGCACGCTCCTCTCCGACGCGGCTGGCTGGAGACGAAAGGCTGTGCCCTCTGGACAATGAGCAGATGGGGAGTGAGAGGCCTTTGGGCTTATGCTGCTATTTCTTCCTGGTAATGTTATTTTTGAAATGTCATTTTTCTTTCCAAAATCTCAAGTCCCTCATCTCTAAAATGAAGATCAAAATGCCCACAGGACCTAAATTCTGGGGTACTTATCAGGACCTCAAAATACATCAAGTGACTTTTAATAACGTTACAAGCGTCCTTCCATTGTTTCTTTAAATTTTTAAAAATTGAAGTAACATTGTATTCGAGCTTACATGAGTTCCAGGTGTGCAGCACTGAGATTCAGTATGTGCAAATACTGTTTAGTTCACAACTAAACATGCAGGTTTATCCTTCATCCTACCATAACACCTTTTTCCTAATTACCTAACTTCTTTTTCCCTTTCCTTTTGCTTACCGTTAGTTGGGTTTATACTCCAAAGGTTTATTTTTACTTTCTTAAGTTCATCTGTTTATTTTCTCTAGGTACCATATATGAATGAATTCATACAGTGTTTATGTGTCTCTGACTTACTTCACAAAACATTAATTTTCTCCAAGTACATCCATGTTGCTGCAAATGACAGGATCCCATCCTTTTTTTATGTCTGAACAGTATTCCATTGCGTATGTATCCACCACATCTTCTTTTTCCATTTGTCAGTTGATGAATATTTAGGTTGTTTCCAGCTCTTGGCTATTGTAGTGTTGCAATAAATGTGAGGATTCAATCTCTCTCTGAATTAGTGTTTTTGTATTTTTTGGGTAAATACCCAAAGTTGGAATAGTTGGATTATGGATTTTTTTTAAAGATTTATTTATTTATTTATTTATACAAGCACTGGGTACAGTCAGAAGCATGGGAGGGTGAGAGGACTCGCCAGAGCCAGAGCGGAGAGCAGAACAGGCAGACTGACAAGTGCACTGTTGAGGGGAGCAGTAGGTGGCAGGAGAGGTCTGCATGCCATGTGGGACCCTCTCCAGCCGCCCGACCAGGGATGGAACTGGCACTGCAGAGGCTGCGGGCAGCTTTGCAGCCCAGCACTCAACCGCTGAGCCACCGGGGAGGCCTGGATTATGGAATTTTTATTTTTAATTTCCAGAAGCAGTTCCATACTGCTTTTCATTATAGCTGCACCAGTTTACAACCCCACCAACAGTGTATAAGTTTCCTTCTCTATGCATCTTCTATGATACCTGTTTCTTTGCCTCATGGCTAGTAGCCACTTTCAGAGAGGTGAGATAGTATCTCAGTGTTGCATTGCTTGGCATTTCTCTAATAAATGATGATACAAATCTTTTCATAGACCTATTTGCCATCTGTACGTCCCCTTTGCAGAAGTGCCCATTCAGATCCTCCGCCATTTCTCGCTGAGTTTTAGATTTTTCTTCCTTCTTCAAATTTTGAATGTTAACCCCTTGTCTGACATATGATGTGCAAATAGCCTCTCCTATCTACGGTTCTTTTCCGAATTCTAATGTAAAAAATGTTCATATCTGTCACATGTGTCTGCCGAAGGAGATTCTCTTCCTCTTTTCCCGGACCCAACTACCCCACTAGCAGAAGATGGAAAGAAGTGGGCTGTGATTTGCAATTTCCTGACTTTCCCCACCTGTGAACACCAGGCGGCGCCGAAGCCTCCCTTTACCCCAGGACCGGCGCCACCACCCAGGCAAGGCGTGCGGGGAGAAGGAAGTGCTGGGGCTGGGGAGGCTCGGGCTGGGGAGGCTCGGGCTGGAACTTCAGGGTTCAAACAGGGCAGGTGTCTTTTTAGGGCAGGTGTCTTTTTATGGCAGGTGATGATGTCAGCTCGGGACACGCACTAAGATCGTATGAGGGTAAAGTCCTCTTAGAACTAGGAAAATATTTACATGCTTTTCACCTGAACGCACAGAGCAGCTATTTTTCTTGACTTGAGAACTGAATCGTGGAGATGTCAGCCCCGTTCATGGCCCCACTCTCTGCTGGATGGGCCCGTTGGTTCCCAAGAACATAACTCGGGAAGGAGGCGGGGGTGGGGTGGGGGAGAGGGTTAAGAGAAGGGTCAGTGGTCAGTGTGAACCGTCTGCTCACCTTTCATAAGGTACCACCCACCTGGGTTCCCACACCAAGTCGGAAATCAAAACGACCTAAGCTTCCAATGCTTAGATAAAAAAAACAAAGAAACACCCCGTCTTTTTCTAACAACCTTGCTGTATAGATTATGGGCCAGTGATTCCTCCTCTGTCACGCAGCTTCACAGCAAACTGCATCCGCTCTGGTTTAGAGACACCAAAGGGAGTTCCCGAGAGACACGGCGACTCCCCCAAAGTTGCGCAGACTGGACGTGGCAGGTGCTCCGAACCAACACCGAGGGCTTGCGTGTCTCTCAGAGGTCCTGACTGCCAAGACCGCAGAATCCTAATTCTTTGTCCCAGCCTGGCCTGTCCGGCCTCAGGAGCTATATACCCTAGAAACACCCCCTTCCAGCCTGGTCCCCAGGACGGCGATTTCGGGCACTCGGAATGTCCTTCCAGCGAGCGGAATTGGCTGCTCGCGCTTGTTGTTGGAGAACAAACCACTGTCTTGACTCCCTGCCAAGGGTCTGTTGAGGGCCGGAGCCTTGCACAGCGCCTGGACGGGGGAGTGGAGGGAAATGAGGTCACACAGACCCGCTGGTCCTCCTCGACCCCGCGGCGGGATGGGCGAGTGCCGGGCGCGTCGGGTGCAGGAGGGAGCTGGACGTGGGACCGGGACGGGGCGGCCCGGGGAGGGAACTCGACGTGGGGCCGGGATGGGGCGGCGGGACGGGGCGGCCGGGGCTGGGAGCTGGACGTCGGGCCGGGACGGGGCGGCCGGGGAGGGAGCTGGACGTGGGGCCGGGACGGGGCGGCCCGGGGAGGGAGCTGGACGTGGGGCCGGGACGGGGCGGCCCGGGGAGGGAGCTGGACGTGGGGCCGGGACGGGGCGGCCGGGGAGGGAGCTGGACGTCGGGCCGGGACGGGGCGGCCCCGGGGGCCGGGCGGGGCGGGGCGCTGGCCCTTTAAGGCGGCGGCGGGCGCGGCCAGGTAGAGGGCGGGGCCCGCGGGGGGATCGCGCTGCGCGGCCCCGGAGCCGGATTTGGAGCGCGCGGCGCCGGCGGGGCCGGAGGGGGCGGCGCGGCGGAGCCTCCCGCGGCCTGGACGCTCCTCCTAGCCCGCCGCCGCCCGCCTCGGCCTGAGCCCGGCGCTCCCTCGCCTCGGCCGGACCCGGCCGCCACTTCCGGGCGCTCACCTGGGGCGCGCTCACCTGGGCGCGCTCACCTGCCCCGGGCGCCAGGATGAAGGACCGGCTGGAGCAGCTGAAGGCGGTGAGTGCCGCCCCCTCGCCCCCCACCCTGCGGGCCGGGGGCCGACTGGGGTGGAGCCGCGCGGGAGGGGGGCTTGCCCGGCGCCCCCGCGCGGGGCCTGCCGCTCGCCAAGCCCCGTCCGCCGCCTGCGCTGGCCCCGCACTCTCCCCTCCCAGGTCATGTGCAGGGTGATTCATTGCTGGCCGCCGGTTTCCCTGGATGCCTCTAGCCCGGCTCTTCCTCCTCCCCTTCGCCGGCCGGAGCTGGGCAGAATCCGTCCGCAGCTGGGATCCGCGGGGTGCTGGGACCCGGGGGAGGGGTCCCCTGTGGGGTGACCTCACCACCTGCCCGCTGCTGCCTGTCACTGTGCCCAGGCCTGGCCTCCTCTGCACTTCCCTGGTTTTCCTTCCAGGGGCATCGAGCCTGGCAGCCCTCTCCCCGGGAAGCAGGTCACAGCTCCTGGGTGACCGCCACAGCGGTGGGTGAGCTGGTGCCTTGCTGGGGTGGGACCAGCTCCTGGCCATAGGGCGGTCTGTAATGATTAATTTCCCCCGCCGGACAGCTGTGGTCAGGGTGGAGCGCCTGGAGGCAGACAGCCTGCAGCCCTGCCCCGCACAAACCTTCGGGCCTTGACCATTCCCCACTGTTTCCCTGTGGGTCAGCTGGGGATGATGAGACCTTAGGAGACTGGTTATGAGATGCAGTAACATCATGGATGTGACCCAGAGAAGCGTCAGAGTCTGGGTTTATGAGTCAGGTTCTCAGTGACTCGCTCAACAGTTAACTTTTGAGGGTAAACTCTGGGCCAGGCCCATTGCTGAGCCCTGGGTGGCACAGGCTCTGCCTTGATGGCATTTAAAACCCAGCCTTTGAAACAAAGTGGGAGCTGGTTAGTTGCGCAGAAGCTTGAGGCCCAGTCTGGAACTGCAGAATTGTTCTGATCATCCCCCAAACCTCCCTCAGGGAGATTCACTGGCCCAGTAAAATCTGGGGAGCCCTGGGCTGGAGAAACTGGGGCTTTCCTCTGGCTTCACTGCTTACTAGCTGCCCGGACACGGCTGAGCCAAAGCTTTGCCATCTGTGCAATGGGTGGTCGTGTAAGGAGTAATAAAGTGTTGGCGTTAATGCTCATTGTAAACGCTCTTTGGAAACAGGTGCCTCATCTCAGAGGAGTGGAGGGGCCTCAGGGGTGATGTTGCAATTGTTTTTCTTTCTCCTGCCTACCTTGGGTGAGACCTTCTTGACCCTTCGCCTGCTGTGGGTGGTTGTGGCTATGGAGGCTGCGGTGGTAGGAAGTGAGAGACGCAAAGGACAGACCTGATTGTGGGGGAGAGCCATCCTGCTCCTACTTGCTCTTTGTCATCTGAGTCCCACAGCAACCCAGTGACCTGGCAGATTTATGGGGCCCTAATTTTATAGATGGGGAACTAGAGGGCGGAGGAAGGTACAGGTCACAGAGCTCATGGAAGAACCCAGGTCCTGCCTCTGCATTGCCTGCCCCCCCTCCCCCTAGCAGGCAGGTTGGGAAGGCCAGAAGGCAGGAGGAGCAGTGTTTTGAAGCTCTTCCTCTATCAGCTCACCCACCTGGCTTTGCGCCACATCCAGCAGCCAGCAGAGGGTTCTCCTTGCTGTAGTAGGAAATGCTTTTCCAGATGAAAATATTCCTGGCCCTTTTCTGTACCCTGTTGTCGGCAAAAAGCAGAGCCTCCCTTGAGTGCTGGGTTCCAAGTGTAAATTCAGTGTCCCAGGGACCCAAGCAAGTTCCTGGGCTTCTTTGTGCCCCATCTCACTGTGGAGCTGAGGCTTTTGCTCTCTTCCTCTTGGGGAGGTGCAGAGGGTAGGTGCCCTGGGAGGGGGGTGCTGCTTTGAAATCAGTGCCCTAGTGTTTGGGGGGCAGGGAGATGGGTGTAGGTGCTAATTGTCACCCTGCCACCCAGTAGCTGTTGCCCTGGGCCTCACCCCTGCCTGCTTCTCTATTCCCCAGTGAAGCATGGAGTTTGTTGTGCTCAGAAGCCCCTTCTGACAGTGTTAGTGTTTTCCATGAAGATTGTACTTAAGGTGTATATGGATTTTTTAAAATCATATAAAAGGTTTACAACCGTGTTAGTATTTTGCGAGTGTAGGATCTCCCCTTCAGGTGTGGTCACTGCAGGCCCCCCCCCCCCACCCCACAGCAGCCTTGGTCTCCCAGCCTAGTCCACTTGCTCCCTCCCCATCCTGTTCTGGCGCCTGGGCCTCCCTGCCCCCCTGGGTGCCTCTGTTCTACAGTCAACTTTCCAGGGCTGGTTTTATAATGTTTGGCTGTTTGTTTCTTTTCCACTTATAAGTGACATCATCCCGCATTTGTCTTTATCCTTCTGACTTATTTCTCTGTGTGGAGTTTGTTTTCTACCATTGATCTCTACCCACCCCCACCCTCCCCAGGACAGAGAATACCCACACTGTGACGAGATAACCATCTTCGCTCTCTGATTCCTTTTATCAGCAACAGAAAACTGTTTGTCAGCTTGCAGGAACCTCACTTGTGTGCAATGTCTTTCTATACCCTAGGAGAGGGGAGGTGACAGCTGTTTCCTGGTGGCTGCAGAGTGTCCCATGCAGGAGATCGCTTGGCCCTGTGTGCCCACAAGGAGATGTAGAGCTGGGTAGAAAGGAGGACTCTGATTTGTAAAAAGTGCAAAAGAATTTTTAGGTGCCCACGGACAGGATGGGCTGGCTTGGGAGGCTGTCAGCCTCCAGTGTTGGAGGGAGGCAGGGAGTTTGTGGGGGTGTTGAGTGTTGGGGCACACTTGATGTTGGGGAATTGAGCATCTAGGGGTGGGGGGGAGGCCATCCAGGAGATTTAAGCCCTCCTCAACCCTGAGGATGAGGACGGTGGTTCTAGAAAATGCCCCAGGCCTGGTGAGCCTGTCCTGAGGCCATGAGGCTCTGCAGGCTGCAGGGTTGGGGTCTCAGGGTTCTCCTTAAAGAGGACCCCCCAGGGTAATTTGAGCACAGAATGATCCAATTCATGATAATTACCCACTGCAATAAATGTGAGTTGCAAGCTGCTGCGGCCTCTATCTGAAAGGCCTGCCCCCTGAGGCCAGGGTCATGAGACTGACTCAACTTATCTCTTGCACAGCTCCACCCGACAGGCGGCAGGCGGCAGGCCGGCCTCCTCAGCTGCAGGAATGGCTGCCAGGAATGTGCAGAGCCTGCACCCAGCCATCTCACCAGGCAGTACTTGCTCATTCTTTCGGGCTGAACTTTGGATCTGCTGAGTCCAGGAACCTCTTGCCGGCCTCCTTTCATTCAGCAAACATTTGCTGAGCACCATCTGTGCCCCAGGTCCTGTGATAGCTGGTGGCTGCAGTGGTGATTGACACACACGCCTGGACCTTAGGAAGTGCACGGTTAGGTCGGGAGACAGAGAAACAGACGCAGATGAACGGGCCATGTGATAGAAGCAACTGTGTTGAGGACGAGGCGTTAGGGAGTGGGGGCCACTTCCTGGAAGAACAGACCTGAGCTCAGGGCCCTCTTCAAGTCCGGTTAAGATTCAGGCCTAATCTCTTGAGATGCTTGGCATTCGCTAAGAAGAGAGGCGGGGCCTGGGCTCCCAGCCGTGCCCCTTGGGAGCTTCACATGTGCCACAGGCACCAGTTCTTTCTGACCTTTGTGTGCCTATTTTCATCCACTTTGACCTCCTGCAGGGCATTTTGTTAGGCAAAATGATTTTGCACAGGCCTGGTCTTGAAGAGTAGATGGTTGTATAGGGAAAACACAGGATTGTATTTCCCGGAGAGAGGTCTCCCCACCCTCCCGTAATGAAGTGTCAAAAGCCAGTGATGTGTGGACTGGAGGTCACGGACACTGGACCCCTTGGAGATTCATCTCTGGAGACTAGAATAACTAGGATGTACTGGCCCCTCCAAGGTCAGTGCCCATAGGGACATGCAGGACATCAGCTCCCTGGGGCTCCAAAGGCCAGGCTTCCTTTTGCTCTCTTTGTTCTGTCTTGATGTATCTTGAAGGGTTTGATCTTCTGGGGTCTTTGAAGTTCTGGGGTCTCTGCAGGATCAGAGCTCTTTGGGAAGGTTGGGGTTCTGGGGTCTCATTTGAAGTTCTGGGGTCCTCAGGATAATGGTTATAGTGTTAACTCCATCAGAAGCGTGAGCTATACTTCCCCTTTAAGGCTTAATACTCTTCTATAAGCACATACTGAGCCCCTGCTCTGTGCCAGGTGCCTTGGATCTTAACCAAATCTTAACATCCCAACTTGAGAATCTTTTCACTGAGCTTGGGTCTTTTGGTGAGAAGATGCCTGCCTACCCGGGGATTTCTCCCTCACCTGCTCTCTGCCTCACCAGGCTCATTCCCTGGGAGAGCTATTCTGCTATGAGCAGACTGGAAGCAGGGCTGAGACGAGTGTGGCAGGGATTGATCAGGGATTACAAACTCATCAGCCAGAGGCCAGAAGAGAAAATGCTTGGACTAGAGAAGGGGATTAGTTTTATTTTTATTCCTGTGATGTGGGGGAGGCTGGATGCGTGTGGGGCCTGGGGTGTGGGGTGCTAGGGGTTCCCAGGGACCAGCATCTGTTCATGTCCTCTCTGCCCCTCTGTCAGAATCCCTCCTCCCTCCTGGTCTTCTGAAACTCATTCTTTATAGGTAATGCTGCCTAAACTATAGCCCAGAATATTCTGCCTCTCTCCTAGCAGCCCCCTGGGCTTTTTTTTTGCTTTGTAGGGAAATGCTTTTCTCTCTTAAGTCAGTGGCTATTTTGTTCCCTTGGGGAGGATTTGAAATCACCTTCCATTTGCTTTGTAGGAAGTGACCTCTTTGTTTCTTAGGTCCCCTTGGCTTTTGATCAATGGTTCAGTTTCTTGTTACCATATCAACCACAATAACAGTGATTTTTTTGTTGACCAGCTGCTTCCCTATGGAGGACTGGCGAGAGGGGCCTAGCTTCCTTGTCTCTGACCCTCTTGAGCCTGCAGAGCAGGTGGAGTGTGCTTGGTGCCCCTTTTATAGGTGAG